GTGAACAGCCCCACAAAAAATCATTTTCATTTTCATTTAGTGAGATAGATCTCCAAAACCGGACAGCGGATTTCGATGATTTTGGTCTTGTTAGATTCACATTGGTTAGGAGAAGTGCAGTGAAGATTTGCACAACTTTATCTTTAATAGTTAATTCACTACAGAACATTAAAATAAATTAAAACAAATTTTATTGGGCGTTTTTTGATGTGTTTCATCTTTACAGCTTTGTAATGAATTAACGATTTTAGATAAAGTTCTGAAAATCTTCACTGCAATTCTCCTAGTAAATGTGAATTTAACAAGACCCCAAACAACAAAATCCGTTCCCCAGTTTCGGAGATCTACATCTCTAAATGAAAATCTAGAGAAAATAACTCTTTTTTTTTTTTTATCTGTGAAAAATTAAATAATTAAAAAAAAAATTTAATTCCACATTTAGTGTCTACCTGATAATCCCTTTTTAATGAGTTATCAACCAAATTTCTAGCTAGGTATCATAGTTTAGGATAAAAGTTAAAAAATAGAAATTTTGGGACTGTTCACGCGAATGTTTTTATCGATTCAAATTGGGTATACCGCTTGGGTGTGATATAAAATCTCTCTTATTAATATTTTATATTAAAGCTAGCTAAATTACCCACCTATTCATCATTACTGAGTTACATTTTTATTATTTTCCTATTTAACACAAATTCTTGAAGTTTTCAAAGTTCAGACTTTTTTCATTTCAATTACCATACTTACTTGATGAAAAATCAAGAAAGTAATATGCATTGTTATGATTTTAATTATTAAAAAGTTAAGTTAAGGTTTTTATTATTATATTATGCTATTTAATTTTTATAATTTTTATTAAAAGATAAGTATTTTGTTCTTTTATTGAATTGCATTGTTAAATTATTGTATACATATGGTATATAATATATATATATATTATATATGTAATATGTATTATGTAATACATTCCTTTTGCTAAAATGGTAGCGAGAATAAAATGAAATGTGCAGTCCGAAATTTTACAAATAATAGGGCCTGGTTTAACCCCTTCAAATGCGTGATAATTTTATTGAAATACTTTTTGAGCCCAAGTGCAGTTCGACCACTACCTGTTTTTTACCCGAGTGCAGTTCGACTATTACCTTTTTTTTACCCGAGTGCAGTTCGACCATTACCTTTTTTAAATCCAAGTGTAATTCGACTAAAATAAGTGCAATTCGACCATACCCAGCTGATTGTAGGTAGTAGGGTTTGTAATGGTAGGGTTTTTACACTTGTGTGTTGTGTTTGACAGAATTTTTGATTGGGCACCTGTAGGTATCTGACATGCCCGGGTGCGGGATGGCGGAAATTTTTCTCCGGACACCGTGACGTCCGAAGAAAAATGCCACCCGTGGCCAAGGAATCGAACTCGGGTCGGCTGCGTCGCAGCCAACGCCTTAGTCCGCTCGGCCACTCCATCCCCCCAAAAAAATATTGTTCATTAAAATTCGACACTTTAAAAAAAAAATGATAATCACTTGCTTGTTGCGCTCTCTCGGATAATTTAAATCATAAACATCCCTCGACTTGTTATGTAAAACCACTTTGGAAGGGCCTTGAACACCTCGGACCTCAAATAACTAAATTTTCAGAACTAAGTCCGACGGCCAAATTTTTACTTCACCATCGTTTCCAACATACTTAACTAAATACGTTAAACCAAACAAATTGAAAAAAGTGTGTCAGGTAAAAATAAATATACATACCACTGATTTTACCCACGTTCTTAACTCGTTTAAATACGTACCCATTTGTATATGTTTTAAAAAAAAATTAAAATAAAGAACATTCATTTTGAGGACTAAAAAAAGTCTTGCCATCAGTATGGACTACTATGGAGTATACAGAATACAAACCTTAAAATTAGCATCCCCATAAAAAAATCCTAGATTCACTACTATGTATGAATATAGCCAATATATGTAAGTGGTACCTATGAGCTCTTATTTTAATGCACCAATGTATAGGTTACCCACTATCAAAAATATATAGCCAGTCAGTGTCTGCACTCTGCTGTACTACAGTGTGAATACCCACCAAACTACCTCTTCATCCTAATCCTCTAATAAAAAAACTATCTACCTTGTCCATTTAAGGTACTCCACCTAGATGGCTTAAGCGAAGATGGTGTCGAGACCTTCTGTCTAAAAATTAAAATTAGCTTAACTTAAAACTTAAGAACACAAAATAGGTAGTATCACCAATGGATGGTTTCTTCCCTCAAAAAATTCATACGCAAATACCCTATGCACATTTGCTTATTGTTCTAGTTAAGAACAGATTGTAAATTCCATGTAAAAAAAAAAAAAAAAAAGGGTGGGCAAGTGGGGTGGGTGTCGCTCTGCTGTACAGTAGGTTACAAGTGGGTCACTGTATAATGGATGATATTAAATTTGAATTCAACGATATAATATCATTGTATAAGAAAAACGATTCTGAGCGGAGACGGTATGTCAGTCTAGGTTTAAGACATATTATATACTTATCTATGGTATTAAAAAAAAATGACCTATAATGAATTCCAAATTAATCATATCACAATATCCATTAGGTACTTATGACGCGTTATACACCAACAACAAACCCTGATACTATCATAGATATATAGTAGTATACTTTAGAAGTTTCAAGTACCCACGAATAATATTATACAATCACAACAAAATAACTAAAATAGTTATTCTAGGTTTTTTATTACCTATGTAATTTCGTCCAAATTTGAATTTAAAATGTCTGAAAAAAATAACTGTGTACATATATTTTTTAGATTTTTTGGTTACAGTATGAACTATTTATGAGAACCTTTGTTTTAAATTTGCAATCCTTAGCTATAAAAACTGAACATTTTAAAATTTATTAATTACAATGATTGATAATTTTTGAGATTTTGATACATTTTGTCAAAATTTCAACTTTAAATGCTTATAAAAAAAAACTGTGCCTATGTATTTTTAATATTTTTCAACTGATATTGTAACAATATATCAGGAGCCTTTTATTACATTTTTACACTCTTTGGCCCAACAGATAAAACTTTATTGATATTAATGATATTTATAGAAAAAAAAACTAAAAAAAATTAAAAGCGGTAAATGTCCGTAAATAGCTCAAAAAGAGTCAAAATATTTTCAAAATTGTATGGTGTATAGGAAATGCTAATTTAAACATTTAGTGAAATTGTCCCTGTGTATTTTAAATATTTTTCAACTGATAATGTAACAATATATCAGGAGCCTTCTATTACATTTTTACACTTTTTGGCCCAACAGATAAAACTTTATTGATATTTATAGAAAAAAAAACTAAAAAAAATTGAAAGCTGTAAATGTCCATAAACAGCTCAAAAAGAGTCAAAATATTTTCAAAATTGTATGGTGTATAGTAAATGCTAATATAAACATTCAGTGAAATTTTTATGTATCTACAGTTATTCGTTTTTGAATAACAACAAAATAAGGAAATCGCTACATGAGAAATCGAGTGAATATCCAATGTTGTAAAAATTTGAATTTCAAACGCTCATAAAAATTTAATTTGACTTTCTTATAGACATTTTTTTTTTTTACAAGGTAGATAATCTTATAAGGAATCTTGTATTACATTTTAAAATCTTAGATTTAAAAAGAAAAATTTTTACGAATTCTTAACTCAAAATAATTTGCTCATTTTCGTGATTTTTCCATATTTTGTCAATTTTTGAACTTTAAATGCTTATAAAAAAAACTGTGACTAAGGATTTTTAATATTTTTCATCTGCCTTTGAAACAATATACTAGGAGCCTTCTCTTAAATTTTCAAGCTTTCGCAACCGACAAATAAAATGGAAAATGAAAAAATGGAAAAATGGAAAATGAAAATGTCCCTAAACAGTTCAAAATAAATCAAAATATTTTGAAAATGTTATCGTGTATAGAAAATGCAAATATAAACAACCAGTGAAAATTTCATGTATATACGTTCATTTCTCTTAGAGTTACACCAAAAACCAAAACCGATTTTGCGTAAGAATTCCCGTTTTTCCTTAATTTTTATGTTGTTTTTCTCGGGCGCTTGTGAAAACTACTGGAAAATTTTTACTTTTGACCCCCCAAAGTACCAACTAGATTCACTTTCCTATCAGAAAAGCTACTGATGAAGAAAATCCAAGCACTTTTACTGTCCTAAAACGTGATGACAGACACAAAAATAAAAAATATAAAAATATAAAAAAAAACACACATCATTGTAAAACCAATACATTCATCGCTCCGCTCAGAATCTAAAATAATAATTAAAAAAAAAAACACACATCATTGTAAAATCAATACATTCATCGTTTCACTCAGAATCTAAAACAGTGTGAATAGTTCACTTATAAACATAACATAGAGTGTTTTGTTTATAATTTCATGAATAATGTTATTACCAATTATTGTATTTTTATTGCCTTATTAAAATAATGTACAGGTAAATATTGCCACAAAATAGTTGTTACCAATTTCGCACTTTAAAATGTTTGTATGTTATTGTACATTATTGATAATTATTTACAAATTTCTAAGCACGATATTTTAATACGTTATATTATTGTATTACTTCGTATTTACTTGTACCTAAATGACGAATTGAAACGGGTCGACGGTAGTTATCAAATATCAACCATTTGATCTTCCTTATCTACTTAAACATTTCTTATTAATGTACAGTAGAAATCGGTTTTAACGAGTTTCAAGGGCCAACTAGTTTTTCTCGTTATAACCGGTAACTCGTTATATGCGGTTAGAACGAACATTCGTTGAAACCGATTAAAAGCGGAAATACAAAAATAAAACAGACTTTTTTTATTTTAGACAAAAAATTTTTATTTACATACATTATTTATACATTTATTATTTAACTTGAATTGATTTAATTTTTATTTAATTTCTTAAAATAATCTTTGATCGAACTTTGCTTCGTGTTAGAGTTGATCGATGTTTCTAAAAAAGACAACGCTTTTCTTTCAGCATCTGTACCTTCATATCCTTGTTCTTCCATATGGTCGAAATTGTCGACGAACAGGTGCCGAATTCTTTTGAAATTACGCTGTTTTTCTCACCATTTTCTAAACGCCCGATTATACCGATTTTTTCGTCCAACGTAAACTGACGACGCGACATGGTGGAACGTCTACACACAACTGACGCTATTTGTAATTTTATTAACTTTAAAACACCAGAATTTGTAAGAATAATGTTTATTATTAATAAGTAATCCATATCTACACAACTAAAGATAATATGTCAATGATTAATCGACCTAAATACGAAAATAGTTCGTATCTTGCAGGTACTTGTTCGTAGTACCCGGAATGTCGTTAGTCAAGTTAGCTTTATTTTACTCGTTATAGCCGATAACTCGTAATAACCATACTCGTTGTAAACGTATATTTTAACATACAATCATATGCGCTCGTGCCGGGACCTAACGTTTTGCTTGTTGTAAGCAGTATCTCGTTCTAAGCGATGCTCGTTATAGTGATTTCTACTGTAATATAATTTGTAATATTTTAATATTAAAATCCAACAATTAATAAATTAAAACCATTAAATTTATCTGAACTAACATTGATGCATTCATGTATAAATAAATTACACAATATTATACATATACTGAATTTGTTTTGGAAATTGATACATAAATTAACTTTATAGTAGGTAGGTAGGTAATGTTTTTTTTCAATTCTACACAATAATAACATAGCCGTAATAAAATAAAAAATGTAAATCTCATTAATTGTATTACTTTCTTATGTAAGTACACTCAATTATTTTTTTATTTAAAATCCGCAATCTGTTTTTTTTTTAAAGGTCCATACTAATTTAATGAAATAATGTATATATTTTATATTTTATAGTATATTAGTATATCAATTAAAGTTATATTACAATATTCTAATAATATAATATTGTTGTATAGATTATAAGATAATTTGATATAAATTGTATTTTATATCAAATATTATAATATCATTATATTTTATTTATAATATGTGTACACAGACTGTACAGTACCATTATTGGAGCAATGTGTGACAGCATATTCTTAAAGAATCCAATAGTAGTGATATCTAAAAACAGATTTAAATTGATCAAACACTTATTAGACCCTTAAATAATTAAATCCCTTTATTGTTTTAATAAGGCATACTCTTTTTATTTAAATAAATTACTATTATTATCTATATAATATATAATTATTATGACCAAATTCTTAAAAATACTGAAAATTGCTGGTTACATAATGGACAGCGTTGCGGGTCTAATAATATTAGGCAATCACCACACACAGCTATGTGTCCACATGGTATGAACGCATGCGTTTTCTCTGAAATAGAGCAAACTACACACATTCGATCAGAGTTGGTAATTGGAGGAAGACCAGACGGCACCTGAACAAATGGTAAATTTTCTATTTCCAACATTCTTATTCTATGGTCAGTTTCCATCATCCGTATCATATCAGGATCTAATTCCTCTTCAATAATAAAATGATATATTGTTACAATATCAGTTGAAAAATATTAAAAATACGTAGGCACAATTTCTTTTTATAAGCATTTAAAGATCGAATTTTGACAAAATGTATTAAAATCTCGAAAATTATCAATCATTGTAATTAATAAATTATAATATGTTCAGTTTTTCAGTTTTTATAGCTAAGGATTGCAAATTTAAAACAAAGGTTCTCATAAATAGTTCATACTGTAACCAAAAAATCTAAAAAATATATGAACACAGTTATTTTTTACAGACATTTTAAATTCAAATTTGGACGAAATTACATAGGTAATAAAAAACCTAGAATAACTATTTTCGTTATTTTGTTGTGATTGTATAATATTATTCGTGGGTACTTGAAACTTCTAAAGTATACTACTATATATCTATGATAGTATCAGGGTTTGTTGTTGGTGTATAACGCGTTATAAGTACCTAATGGATATTGTGATATGATTAATTTGGAATTCATTATAGGTCAATTTTTTTTAATACCATAGATAAGTATATAATATGTCTTATACCTAGAAGGACATACCGTCTCCGCTCAGAATCGTTTTTCTGATACAAATGATATAATATTATTGAATTCAAATGTAATACCATCCATTTAACAGTGACCCACTTGTAACCTACCGTACAGCAGAGCGACACCCACTTGCCCACCTTTTTATTAATAAATTTAATAAATTAAATAAATAATATAAAAATATAAAAATATAATTATTATTTACATATAAATTGAACGTAACCTCAATTAAGTGGTAACCTTCTAACACCTGAACCGTGATTACACTAATTAATAATTCGTTTTCATAGCTTACAATCTATGATTTTTTAATACTATTAGATTATGTTTTTTTGTATGTTTTTTTTTGCTTTTGAAAGATTTTGAAAGTTGGATAAATTACTGGAAAATTTGTTACACCGACCATTTAAATAGGATCTCCATAAAATTCTCTATCGATAAACTTAGGATTTCACTATTCATCGTTCTCGTATGTGGGATTAATCTCATCCACAAACAGACGACCACAATAGTTCTGATAGAGTATATACCTAATATCATAATATATATCTGTCATTTACTAATTTACTAAACGTCTATACCTATTGGCTATTGTCCAGCGTTAGTAGATTTCAAGACATGTCATATTATAGTATCATAACAAAATACATTTAATTTTAATAATTTTCGAGACGTATGTATCATTAACTTCGATGATTGAATTTTAAACTTCATCAATTACCTATATAAGCAATTGATCATGTATTCATGTTTAACACTCTTATAGATTTATTATCGATGTGATTATATGAATAGGTAACTACTTCTAGGAAAACTACTGGCATAGAATGTTGTACGATGCTGATAGCGTAATTACCAAATTCAAATAAACGTATGTAAATATGTAATAGTTTTAAAGTTCAATAAATCATTTATTAGTAGGTAGTTGTAGATGACGTTCACATAAGATAATATTGTACTTTTTAGTTCCCAAACGTTTCGGTTTAGACCCTTCTAAAACGTACTCCCGGAGTCGGGGGTCCTCAATTTTCAACGCAGTGACACCTCTAAATCAAATTTCTGCTCTCAAAAAAGCCGCGTATCGATCTAAAAATTGACAAATTGACAAAACAAAATTACTCGCTAATTTTTTTTTTTGAATAATTTAAATTTTGAACACTTAATTTACCTCCTTAATAATGTGTTAAACAACTTTTAGCATCTGGGAAATGGTGTAGGTACGATTCTGCTTTGATCCTTGTTAGTTTTATAGGAGTAGGACTTATATTGTAGGATTTAGGTTTTTGTTAGATTTTTCAAAACCAAAATTAAAATTCAAGTTTTAGGATAAAAAGTCATTACACGTGTTGGGAATTCTAAATGTGTCTATTCAAAACCATTTTAAAACTAAATGTTTAGGCATAATGATATACGGGGTGTTGTGACTATTTTAGTCCAATACATAATAAAAACAGCTTATAAATTATTATGTCATATTAACTAGAAAAAACAATTCATTTTATTCTATAAACTAATTATAAAATAAATAATAAATATTTAAATTTGTATTGGATATTTTATAACATTAAACTATTGTTTGATATAGTACAAATTACTAATTGGATTGATTATATTGTATTACAATATTATAATATTTATTAGTAATTATTGAGAGAAAAAAAGAAAATACATTGGAATATTGTAATTTATTATTTGTCCCCGGACACAGTGAGCGATGTAGGTACAGAACTACAGACCTGCATTTGTCATTCAAAATTCTAGGCAGAGTTATAATACATAAACAGTCAAACAGATGTATTATAGTTATGTCATTATGTGATATACTGATATAGGTTCATTATACATATTGGTTACCGACAGTGATGGGAAAATAGTCCAACAATGGGCAAAAATGCTGTCTTAAACATTACAGTAAATTACACAATAAACGAATGACAACAATAGTTGATTGATAAATTGGTAATATTAAGGACATCAAGGGGTCAGTTCTTCTTTTAGGCTCTTATGAGTAATTCAATTTTAAAAATATAATTAAAATAAATAATAACGTACCTAAATAATTAATTAGTACAGTGCAAAATATTTTTTATCAGCCTTGCCTAGTGAATAGTGATACGTAAAATACCTAATAGTTATAGTACCTAATCGGCTAGAAAAGTATAAAACGAGTATATATACGACAGTATAATGATATAATGCAGATCGGCATATTATAAATCCTCGTTAAAATATTATAATACAATTATTATAGTGTACCTCTGCGTAAGTATATACAGTTAGAGTCGGTATACCAATAATAGTCGTAATAATGGCATTTGGAAAAATTAACGGGCCCGAAATCCAGCTGATGCCGGTCGATTAATATAATAATGTGCTGGCTACTAATAAACGATGTTTGTTTAAAATCATCGTCGACGGCCCAGGAATAAATACCGAAATCGGCACATTTGCAACTCATCTGAGTATAATCTGACACCTTACGCGGACAAAAAAAAAACCTGAACGAAAAAAAATGGCTGCATCGCATAACGAAGAAAAGGAAATGGAAACAACCATCGTGCAAATCCTGGGAAAGATAATAAGCAACGTCGAGTACGAGATTATGGAAGAAGAACTTAAACGAATCGACGACATCGACCAGGAACCTACCATCGGTGACCTGGAAGGACTTTTATCGTATGCGACGAGCTTCGCGGGGGACGACTACGTGCCGTTCAACCGCGTCTTTCAACCGGTCGACAAATCTGGCGAAACGGCAGAACCGGTTGAACCGATCGTTGGCGACGTCGTAGTGGTCGCGCCTCCGGTGCAGGAAGCCGCGGAAAAGGAGCTGGGTGGCGAGGCGGTGGGCGCCACACCGGCCAGAGGACTGGAAGTCAGAAACAGTATTGGGATCTTGATTGGTTGGCTGGACCCGGGGGTCAAGACAGAAACACGCGCAGCTCCGCGCAGTGCAACGGCGAGATTGGTGTCCTCTGCGTGGAGAGGCCTGACGAGAGCCGCACGTGTGTTGCGCTGTTGTTGTCCCCCGAAGTGAAACCGTCCAAAAGTTTCCCCCCTGGCCGAGGGCAGCGGACAAGGCGAGGCGACGTGTGGGGTTTCGAGGTAATAGGTACGCGGCAGTGCACATTCAGGTGGTGACCGGCGGTAAGTCGCCGATACGCGTTCTCCGGCCATGCTGCGGTAGCGC